GATCTTATATTACATTGTTCATTGATAAGCCACTACGGTATCGATTCCTCACATAGCTCTTTGCGGGCTGGCCTATTGTAGGTTGGCCTATTGTAGGCTGGCCTATTGTGCAGGTTGGCCTATTGTAGGCTGGCCTATTGTGCAGGTTGGCCTATTGTAGGCTGGCCTATTGTGTAGGTTGGCCTATTGTAGGCTGGCCTATTGTGCAGGTTGGCCTATTGTAGGCTGGCCTATTGTGTAGGTTGGCCTATTGTAGGCTGGCCCATTGTGTGGGTTGGCCTATTGTAGGCTGGCCTACAAAGTAGGACAGCCCATTCTGTGTGCTAGCCCATTCTGTGTGCTAGCCCATTCTGTGTGCTAGCCCATCCTGTGTACTAGCCCATTCTGTGTACTAGCCCATTATGGGATAGCCCTTCCAATGGGATAGCACATTATGTACTAGCCTTTCCAGTAGTACAGCACATTATGTGCCAGCCTCTCCAGTAGGACAGCACACCTTAGTAAGACATGTTCCTCACAATTAATTCCTGCATTTAACCATCGCCGACTACATCTGGATGTCGGGGACTCACGTGATCACGTGTCAGTGCCGTGAGGCACCACATGCTAGAGATTTACCTTTAGCCAGGATCTTGGTCTTATCTTTCTTCATTTCTCTTCGCACAATATGAGACCAATAAGACATAGCGTAATTCTTTATTCATAAGCATTAAATAAAGATCCTCTAGACGCCACAAAATCATTAGCTTGGCTGCATTAGAAATGGCTTGCACGGGTAGCTTTGGTGAGCTAAGCGTTGGAATATTTTATGTACATAAATGATATGTACAAACTATGTACAGTCTTGTGCAAAAGGATGTTCCTCTTTGCAACAATGTTGCATTCTCTTACGGCACCCCACATAGTAAGGATTTACTGACTTCCGCACTGTATACATACCAGGCATTGCCAAGTAACCTCCGGGGAAATGTTTTGCCGTGTGCGACCAGAATGGGCTACGAACCTCTACTGAAACATTCCACATTCTGACACTTTCACATCCTCAAATGGCCCCCAAGCTATCCAAGATTGAGCGACTCGAGCTCGAGAATATCATCATTAGTAAGTTAAAAGGCGGGGAATTTATTAAAGACGAGGATATAGCCAATAAAATCGGACCCTGCGTCGCTCGAACCATTCGTAAAGCGCGATCGAACATCCTTCAATTTGGTACAATCGAAACCCCTCAAGAAAATATCGGTCGACCGAGGGAAATGACAGAAAATATTCCATAGCCTTCCACGGCCTTCTACAGACTTGATCACGTGAGCAGCATTATCGCTTGGAGGGGCTGACTTTTTAGTCAGCGTCCCACTATCAGTGTTCTCGGTAGCTTCTTATCTGTGCAGCCCATGCCACTTGATTAAATCCAACTCGGAACGGTCCGCTGCGGGTAGTTATTACTATTGTAGTATAGATCTGGCAGGGTCCTTGCAGCTGTTTTCATCGCTCCAACAAATAGACTATGGGCCGTCATTCATTGCATGTTGATCCCAACCAATAGAGTAGAGTGTTGAGCTGATTCATCAACTTGGTCACGTTACATGGATGCCTAAACAATAATGCAACTTCAGCCGCACAAGGCTGACAACCCAATCGTAACATCTTCCAAGCTGTTGTCTTTGTCTATACTTTCCACTTGACAACTTCTACCATCATCTTACTGCCATTCTCCGCTAGCTAGACTCTGGGGCCGTAAGGATGCGACGGCTTTGGGAGCATGCACGGCAAAAGGGTAGAAGTAGCAAACAATCTGACAGTTCAGTGTCTGCCTCCCCGCCCCTCCCAATAATAACAAACACACCTCAGGGGCTTGAGGTCGTGTACGATGGGAATGATGCTATCGTTGAGTAAGTACCATCTCCTGATACTTTATTTGCCATATCCTTCTAACGTTGTATTTCTAGCATCATCGCCGTTCACGGCCTAAACGGGCACCGACAGAAAACATGGACCGCAGCTAACAATGTCCATTGGCTCCGCGACCTCCTTCCACACGATCTACCTCGCGCTCGTATCATGTGTTGGGGTTACGATGCCAACACGCACGACAGCTCTCGCGTGAGCTGCCAATACCTGTACGATCATGCACGTACCTTGGTTTCGGATCTGTGCCGAAAGCGGCAATTGACCAGCGTACGTGCTAATTTGGCTCGGGGAACTTAAAGCGCCATGACTATTGGACAATGACTAAAACAAGACTAGTCAACGAGACGGCCGATCATATTTGTGGCACACAGTCTAGGTGGCATCGTTGTAAAAAGTGTCAGTCTCTTGTCTGTATAAAGAGTGCTGGTTATGTACTGATAGGAACAGGCATTGATCCATTCAGACGCATCGCGACAAGGGGCGTTGCTCGAACACCGCTCCATCAAGCTCTGTACATATGGCATCATCTTCATGGGTACCCCACACCAAGGTGGTAACGGGGTGCAATTGGGCCGATTACTCGTAAACATTGCTTCAGTTTTTGTCGCAGCCGATAACCATATCCTGCAGCATCTAGAACGAGACTCAGAGTGGCTGCAGCAGCAGCTCGGGCAATACGGCCCGATTACTAACGACTTTGTTACAAAGTATGCTTATGAGGCATACGAGACTGCAACGGCATTTGGCCGCAAAATCATGGTATGCTCTACTCTTTCCTGTATAATATAGTATACTAAGTGGTAACAGGTAGTCCCGCGTGCATCGGCAGTCGTACCAGGCCATGCCAATGCCGAGTCGATCGTCATTCATCACGACCATATCAACATGGTAAAATTTATAAGCAAGGAAGACAATGGCTATGAGAAGATTTCAGGGTATTTGCAGATTATGGTGGTGAATACGGGTGACCAGATACGGCAGCGATGGGAGGAGGAGGCAAGGATAACAGAGGGTGGGTACCTGCCATATGTCCTTGATTCTGACACTAATTAAAGTCTGTATATGTAGCTCGGACTGATCCTGCGTTCAGTCGATGGTTCCTACCTCTAAGCTTATCCGGCGTCACTGAAGTCGCGCATTTCGTGGCAAGAGAGGAAGAGCTTGCACAAACACATGAGATTTTGCGTGCTAATAACAGACGACGTACTGCTGTCCTGTATGGCTTAGGTGGGATGGGTAAGACACAATTGGCGGCAGCATACATTAAACGCCACCATGCAGATTACTCCGCCGTCATCTGGCTGAACGCCAAAGATGCAACATCACTAAAGCAAAGTTTCGCTCATGTGGCCGGGAGGATCAGTCAACAGCATCCCTCCACACTCTACATTGAGAATGCCATCAAGGACAAGGATCTCGATCAGATAACCGAGGCGGTCAAGCGATGGCTAGGAGAGACTCACAACAGCCGTTGGCTCGCTATTTATGACAATTACGACAACCCGAAATTCCCCAATTCCACAAGTGGGCCAGAGTCGAGCAAAGAGATTGTAAAGGACGAATCTGGTGCGATAAACTCTGAGTCTCAGATATCGCTGGAGAAAGGGTTTGATATTCGACCCTTCTTTCCCAGCAGTTATCAGGGTGCCATTCTGATAACAACACGATCATCTATCGTCCAGCTTGGAAAGATCGTTCGACTAGGGAAATTGACAAGTGTTCATGACAGCCTTCAGATTTTGGCTTCCACGTCACATCGACAAGGCCTCAATGACGGTAAAATGCGGTTGATGAAACGTAACAGATAAGGTCAATACACTAATGTAGTTTGAATAGATGATGCCGCTCTGCAACTCGCGCAGCGACTCGATGGGCTTCCCCTTGCTCTCTCCACCGCCGGCTCTTATCTTAG